AGGGAGAGTTCTGTGGGGAAGACACCTGTTACCAAATTGTCCATTTGAGTTCCATCTTAGCATCCACATAATGGAAGACACAACCAACTTGCATAGATTGATCTGACCTTCACATGCATGTCCCTCCCCTAAGTATAATTACACTATGGTTCAAAACTTCAAAATGGGTGGGGTGGTGAAGGTGCATGCCTTTGATCTCAGCACTCAAAAGAAAGAGGCAGGCAGATATCTGTGAGTTCAAGGCCAACCTGGTCTACAGAGTGTGTTCCAGGACAGGTATGACTGTTACACAGAGAAACCCAGTCTTATGGAAACAAACACACAAACAACAAAAAAAGAACAAAACAAAATTCAAAATGGATCTGGACAGTTGTTGGGCATACCTTTAATCTTAGCACTCAGGAGGCAGAGCCAGGCAGATCTCTGGGTTTGAGGCCAAGCTGGTCTGCAGAGCAAGTGCCATGAATGCCAGGGATACACACAGAAACTGCCTTCAAAAATCCAATTTAAAAACTTCAAAATGGGAGCTGGCTGTAAACTTGAGTGCTGGGAGTATATTTCTGAGGCACCGGCCATCCTCATTGTCCTCTGCCTGTTGCTTGGGGCTGGCATTTGCATTCAAGCAGCAATAGACTGATATCTGGACACTCCAGAGAGGCTAGTGTGTTGTTTTGAGACAGTGTCTTTTCTGTAGCTCTGTTTGGCAGACTTGGTAATATGTAGCCCATGCTGACCTTAGCATTTGATGCAATCTGCCTCAGGTACCTGAGTGGCTGCGATTATGGATGTGCTATCACTTCCTACTTCACATGGGCCTGCTTTTGTTTTACTGCATCGATACAGAGTCTCAAGGATTTTAGGTTGTTATTGAACTTCCTACATAGTAGAGGGTTTCCTTGACTTCCTCATCTTCCTGTACTATGCCTCCTTAACTCTTGGAATACACAACACTGACTCCTGAATCCTGGGAGTAAGGTATGTGCCTCTATGTCCAGAGTCACTCACAGATGTAGGCAGACACCTGGAGAATGGTATTGAACTTAAAATGCCTCTCACTGGTTTCTCTCTAACATTAATATGACCAATTAAACCTCATTTTTGGAACTTGTTGATGAATTTGTCCCAATCATGGGGAATATTTCTAAGAAGGAAATCAATAGAAATAAGTATTGACTTAGGAGACATCTGATGAGGAATAATGATAAGGGATGTGGTAACAACTTGCTCACATGACCAAGAGAACATGGTCTTGTTAATGTCCAGCAAAACAAGCAAACAAAAAAGAACAGGGATGACCACCACAGCCAGTGAGCATCCCTTGTCTATGTGAGAAATGCTGCCTGACCATCCCAGGACAAGCCCAAGGGATATAATCATTGGCTCAACACACACTTATGCCTAGAAAATGACCAATCTCAGTACGAAATGACCAACTTCACTTCCAGCTCAGAACAATGTAGCTGGGCATTACCATCACCTTGGCTACCTGCACAGTCGGGAGCATGTCTCACTCTCCCGTAATAAACTTTCCCCTTGCTCACTCCTTTGCATCCCTTATCCCTCATCAATGACAGAGCAAACTGTAGAGCCAGTGGCTCAGGTGGTTCTGGTGACCACAGATCAATCATTGATCAGCTTAGCATCTAACAAAGACAAGAAGGGTGTCCTGATTTCACCACCATGGTCATGGTAAAATATGAGAAAAAGCAAGGAAAGAGAGAGTTTACTTGGTCTGCAATCCAGGTCACTGTCATTTAGTGGAATTCAGGCAAGAATTCAATCACGTACACATATCACTGCCAGAGTCAAGAAAAGAGAGCTTTCTTGCTTGCTATTCAGGTAGTGTGTTCTATCCTAACAGTGCAGTCCAGGGCTTGACACATGAGATATTCGAGTCTGTCCTCAACAATGAAGACAATAACCCACAGATGTGCCCACAGGACATGCTGATCTAGAATGCCTATAGACACCAAACGCTGCTCTGAGTATGATTTGTGAGATTGCTGTGTGTTCTGATGGCAATGGTGGCCATTTTACTTGATAACTGTATTCCAAATACACATTTTCTTTCAAAAGGTGATGCGCACAACAAGGTACATTATTAAAAGACCAAGAGCTGGGGGAAAGAATTAGAATTCCCAGCATTCACATGATAGTTCACTCAAGTTCCAAGAGATCCTGTCTGATCCTATGGCCTCCAGTGTTACACAGAACCCAGAGATTTGTGTCTTTAGATGCACACATACATGTATTTTTAAAATGGTAAGATCATCAAACGGACACATTTTAGCACAGTTTGGATAGGGCTTCCTTAGTATGCTTTGAGTACTGACTTTGATCCACAGGTGTATGATATCAGAATTGAAGGGGTGATAAAGATAATCAGGAGTTCAACATAGGCTCTGATACATAGCATGTTCAATAGAAATCTAAAATATATGAGACTCCATTTAAAAAAAAGCTTCAAACAAAAAAAAAAACACAGACCCACAAGGAGTGATGAGGTACAGCCATAATACCAAGAACCCAGGATGCCAGACTGCTTCAAATGTAAGGTTAGCATGAGCTACATAGCACCAGGCCTGCCAAAGCAGAGGTATAGAAAAGAATTTGTCTCAAAACAAAAAAAACCCAGCAAACACTGGGAAGTGATTTGGACAAGTACCCATCAGTGGCTTCCAGAAACTGTCTAAGAACTTCCTCTGGGAAAGTGCACCTGTGTCCAGCCAGCATCCAGTGTCATTCTCTGTATGACATACCCCTGTGTATCAAGGACAAAAAGGATCTTAGCCATCCCTGCACATAACACAGTGATACAGGACCTGTGACCCCATCTGCACCTGATGGAATGCCCACTGGAAACTGTGGCCCTGACTGTACCTGAAGGATCATCCTCTCAACCTTGGACCTACCTGCACCTGGAGGAGAGATCAGGACAAGTCTTCCTTGTCTGCATCAAGAGGAGTGATCACTGGAGCCACAGCTCCCAACTGCACCAATTGGAAGAACAGTGACCCCTGTGTAGCTCAAACCCCCCTGTACTGATGGAGGAACACATGGGTAGGCACAAGTGTAAGAATACACTCTGCAACATAAAGAATAGGACACCAACAGAAACTCGTTGTTCTACAACAGCAAGACAGGAATATCCCAAAACAGATGAAGCAGAAGACAATGACCTTAACAAATTTTGATGAAGATGACGGAGGCCCTTATATAGAGGAAATGATGAAAATCCCTTAAAGAAGTAGAAGAAAACACAAGCAAAAACCAGGAAGAAATCAACAACATTCCTTAAACTAAACCAAGTAAAAACAATCAAACGGGTGAAGGAAATGGTTAAAGACTTGAAAACTGAAACAGAGACAATAAAGAAAACACAGGCCCAGGGAATTCTGGAAAGGGAAAATGTGGTTAATTATCAGGAATGACAAATGCGAACATACACAACAGAATACAAGCGACAGAAGATGGAATCTCAGGCGTTGTAGATACCATCCAGGAAAAGGATCCATCAGTCAAAGAAAATATTAAATCCAGCAAGCTCTTATCACAAAATATCCAACACACTGGGGACACAATGAAAAGGCTGGAACTAAGAATTAGTAGGAATACAAGAAGGAGAAGCAGTCCAGGAAATCAAAGGAACAGAAAATACATTCAACATAATCATAGAAGATAACTTTCTGAACATAAAGGATATGCCTATGAAAGTACAAGAAGTTTACAGAAACCAAATAGATTGGACCAAAAAGAGTTCTCTTGCCACATATAATGAAAGCACTAAGCATATGGAATAAGGGAAATATAGAGCTTCAAAGAAAAAGGGCAAGAAATATATCCCACTTCTCACTGGAAACAAGCAAAGCCAGAAGGTCTTACACAGGAGTTATGCAGACACTTATGGGACCACGGATGCCAAATAGAAGACTATAACTAGCGAAGCATTCAATCACCATCTATGGAGAAAGCAAGATACTCCTTGACAAAGTCTGATTTTAAAAAGTACCTATCCACAAATGCTGCCCTACTGGAAGGACTAGAAGGAAAACTCCAAACACAGGAAGTTAGCAACATCCACAAAAATACAGGCAGTACATAACCCCCAACAGCTAATTACTAAGGGAACCTGTACATAATACTACCAACAACACTAAAACAAAAGTAATGCAAAGTAGCAATAAGTGGTCATTAATATCCTGTAATATCAGAGGTCTCAAACTGCCTATAAAAAGACACAGATCAACAGAATCCATATGGAAACAGAATCCATCCCTCTGCTGCATGGAAAGGGAAAATGTGGGTAAATTATCAGGAATAACAAATGGGAACATACACAACAGAATACAAGCGACAGAAGATGGAATCTCGGGCGTTGTAGATACCATCCAGGAAAAGGATCCATCAGTCAAAGAAAATATTAAATCCAGCAAGCTCTTATCACAAAATATCCAAGATACTGGGGACACAATGAAAAGGCTGGAACTAAGAATTACTAGGAATACAAGAAGGAGAAGCAGTCCAGGAAATCAAAGGAACAGAAAATATATTCAACATAATCATAGAAGATAACTTTCTAAATATAAAGGATTTGCCTATGAAAATACAAGAAGTTTACAGAAACCAAATAGATTGGACCAAAAAAAGTTCTCTTGCTACATATATTGAAAGCACTGGTGTGTCAAGGGCAGTGAGTGTGGGCCACTGGCAGTGGGAATAGGATCTGTGCCTGCATGAACTGGACTTTTACGGCCCATTCGCTATGGAGAAAGGCCTTGCTCAGCATAGACACAGGGGTGTGGGCCTTGGTTCAGCCTCAATTTGGGGATCTGACAGACTTCATTGCCTCCCCATTGGATGCCTTACCCTCTCTGAGGAGAAAATGCAAGTTGGGATGGGTAAATGTAGGGAGGAACAGGAGGGGGGACTGGGATTGGTATGGAAACAGAGAATAAATAAAAATAAAAAAGACAAGACCTCAATAAAGAATTTAATTTATTTCCAACTTAAGAAACATAACTCAATGATTTTGGGGGTGCTAGTAGAATTGATGGAGGTGGTCTTCTTTTCTCCTACTGCAAGGTCATCTCCCTTGGCTTCTGAAACCTCCTAGAACCAAGCTGCAGAAAGCAGAGGCATTAGGTGACATGAGTGCTAATGAAGCTGGAACTTCCTTGTCATCCCACCTACTCCATCTGCCTGTCAAGAGTAAGCATGCCAGAAGCGTGGCTTCCTGGGCTCTGTCATCACCTAGCACCCACAGAGGACCACCCCAGTATCTCAGCAGCATCCCCATGTCTCACTCTTCTGGTCTTGGCCTCCAGGATGCTCCTGCATGAAGGTCAGGACCTCCAAACGCCACCTGGTCCTTCAACTAACTTTGTTTTTCTTTATCACTATGCTTACTTTTGGTGTGTGAGTGTGTGTGTGTGTGTGTGTGTGTAGACACATTCACATGTAATATGTTTACAATTGTGTGCTTGTGCATCCGTGTCCTTGTATATATCCATGTGTATGCTCTAACTTTTAAGTAAGTAGCCCATGTATTCCCTCAAATGTTAACTCACAGATATGTACACCTTGTGTTTTGGACACAGGCTTTCTCAAGTCCAGCAAGGTTGAAGCACCTGCAGTCAAGTGTGGTCGTGTTTGTGGTGGTGCACGCCTCTGATCCCAGCACTTGGGAGACAGAAGCAGGCAACTGTCTGTGACACAAAGGCCAGTCTGCTCTAGAGAGACAGGGAAGGACAGAAAAACCCTGTCTCAGAAACATAATAAAACAAAACAAAGACAAAACAAAAGGTACATGCATGTCCCTCCATCTCCAAGTTCTAGGGTAACAAGCCTCAGCCAGCCAGCTGGTTTTCCCTGGCTCTCTGGGTCATGACCACATATCTCACAATGAAAGCAGGCACTGTATGGACAGACAGGCACCGTCCCAGCCCTCTTGTGCTTCTGAATCTCACCCAGGTATGGATTTCACAGTCTTGACTCACAACCCAGTCATCTCAATTGTGGAGGGCATGTCCAGGAGCAGCAGTGTGTCTATGAAATCGGTTCAGGAAAATCAGGACAGCCCAGCTCTGAACGGTGTTTTGTTTGTTATCACAAATGAGAAAAAGCATGAAAGAAGAAGGACAAAAGCATGTTATATGGGTTTCACACGGCAAGCCTCCCTCCACCCCAGTCTGAAACCCACATAACCACCACAATTGTGTCCTGAGTTGAAGCAGGGGATGCAGCAAATCAGGGGCACTAACTGGGAACAGGTATAGAGTGGCCACAAGGTGGCAGCAAAACATCAGAGGGTCTCAGGGCTTCAAGAGATTGCTGCATTCTGCCTTTCTCATTTGCCCAGGACTGAGTCTCCATGCCCTCCATTCCTCCCCTTTCCCTCCTCCCACATGATCAATAGGAAGCACTTACTGAACAGCTCCTCAGTACACTGCACAAGAGATGACTCCATGCTCAGCCAATTCCAGATGTGAATCACTCGAAATATTCACGGCACATCTGGATGCTCTGTTTTCATCTATACCTGGGAAAGGCAGTCTGATTCATGAGGAATATGAGGTTGTGGTGGGTTGCCATGTCATTGTTTTCTCAGATATGGGGATTAAGATTTGGGAGTAGGGATTGTTTATTTAAAATAGTGTCAGCCCGGCGGCGGTGGTGGTGCTTGCATTTAATCCCAGCACTCCGGAGGCATAGGCAGGCAGATCTCTGTGAGTTCGAGGCTGGGCAGGATCGACAGCCTCCAAAACAATACAGAGAAACCCTGTCTCATAAACACAAATAAATAAAGAAATAAATGAATAAATAAAAATAAAATAGTTTCATTCTTCCTAGACTGGCCTCAAACTCTGTGCTTTGGAAGATGACCTTGACTGCCTGATGCTCTTGTCTCTACCCCTAATACCAGGCAAAGTCCACCTGATATTATTTAGTGCTGGCAAAAATCCCACGAACAATAACCACTGTGCACAGTGGACCCGCTGACCTCAGGTCCTCCTGTTCACATTCTGTTTTTAGAGAGAGATCTCACAATGCCACCAAAGCTAGACTATTGCTCCTTATAATGCACAGGCTGGATTTGAGTCTATGGCTAGTCCCCAATCTAAGCCTCCAGAATCCTGGGATATCAGCATACACCTTCACCTTGGCTCTGCCATCTAGTCTTAAGGGAAATCCACAAAATGCCTAGAAAGGGAAAATGGGAGGGAGGGAGAGCCCAGGGATGAGGGGACTGAACCTTCAAGCAATGTGAGGCTTCATCTTCCTACTATCATCAGCTGCTGCTGTGGACATGCACTGGAGAGGCTTCTGCCTTCCATTCTGCCCCACGGAGCTGCATAGAGAGTTAGATGAGACCAACCTGAGGACTGCTAATCAGAACGGGGCTTTGAAAATAACTGGCTACACGGGTGATGACCTGGGCTGCTGCACACTGACCTGCGTGTCCTTGATATGGCATGGGATGGGGACAGCTTCCTTTACCTCCCTCCCAGCCAGGTCACAGCTCACCAGCTTCAGAAGAAAAGGCTACGCTCATGTTTGTGGTCCTTCAAAAGACTCTCAGTAGAAAGTCAGGTCATCTAGAAATAGTGAAAGAGAAAAGGCAGGGTCAATGGTGCAGATCTGTTATTCCATAGGGATGACCCAGAGCTCCAGGTCTTCCTCAGCTACACAGTGGATCCCAGGCTTGGCTGAGATACAGGTGTGAGTCAGTTGGGACAGCACTTGCCCAGCATGCAGGAAAACCTGGTTTTGTCCCCAGGACAAAATAAACCAGACTTGGTGGAGAATTACTTCAATCCCTTCATTGGTACATGGAGATAGAAAGATTACAAATGTAAGGATATCCACAGCTACATGCATCATTTAAAAACAAAGCCACAAAACCCAATAGGAATAGGAGCTCACCTGTAGCCCCAACACTCAGTTGGGTGTAGCAGGGTCGCCATTCTTGGCAGCCTGTACTGCATACAGGAAACCTGTTTCAAAATAAGAAGAGAGAAGGGAAAAAGGAATTCTATAAGAAAAGCCTGATACATCTGTCACTGTGGGGTTTACGAGTCTTGAATTTTGAAAATGAGAATAAAATACGATGGATATAGGGTCTAGACAGAATTGAGGAACAGGTAAGGCAGGATTGGAGAACTGTACATAATGAGTATGTGTGTATATTAGCCTGACACATCCATGCCCACAGGGGTGTATGTGTGAGTGGTCGTGTCTGTCTGTCTCTTCTCACTGATTGAGCTCGTGTGTAGACCAGGAATAGAGACCCAGTGCTTTCACACCCTAATACTTTAGTTTGATTTTTGAGACAGGGTTTCTTTGTCCACAAGTGGCTGTGCTTGAACTCTCTCTGTAGCCCAGGCTACAGACCAGAAACAACAGAGATCAGGCTGCTCCCAGTCCTGGGTTATGTGGTGCTCCACCACCATGGACTTCCACCTTACTTTTCAAATGAGGTGTCTCCCTGACCTCTGGGCAGCAAGCTGCCATTCCGGCCTCTCTCCTCCACCAGGCCTGAGATGAGACAAGGATGCTGCCACAGCCTGGTTTCAGTCTTTGCATTCACGCAGCTCCCAGCGCCAGGATCCACATCTCAGAATTTAAATAATCAGAACGTGCATGTTCCTTGTGAAGGGTTACACTCAGCCTGCAACTCCCTACACGGAACCTGACTTGTTCCTACGTAAAACAGGACAAGACTCTGTGTGAACACTAAAACCAACAAAGGAAAAGAGTTTCCTTCCAAACAATGTGGACAGAACCAAAAGTCAGAAAATAAAATGGAAGTGTTCATGTGACATGTTAACACAATT